GTGGGTTGCTTTGTTTTCCATGTAAGGTTTAGGGTTTTAGGGTTTAGGGGTTTGGGGTTGAGGGGCTTTTGGCTGTGCATGTCGTTGATGCGCAGCAACACGCACGAGTAACAAGTTGCCTCAGCTTCGCTGCGCGACCTAGGGTTTAGGTTGGGTACTGCCTATCTTAGGGGTCAGAATGTACTTCTACACACACACACACACATATATATATAACTCTGTTAATTATGAATAGATATTTGTCTAGCTGTTGAGGAGTGGGGGGAGTACCCAATGTTTGGGGTTTAGGGCACGGAATTTTCATCGTCGGGCTTGGATTACTACTATAGCGTGTAGGGTTTAGGATTTGGGGGTTTTGGGTGCAGGGGTCCCTCTCATATCTTTCTTGGTGCTTCGATTCCCACGACAACCGTTTGGTTGTCCCTACACCCTGGGCCAATTATGTTCAAATTTCGCTGGGATTAAGCAGAACTTAAATGTAGTCTAGCGGCCTTAATGCCAGTAAATTAGGGTTTGGGTCAAGGGCTTAAGGCCCTGAGAGAATTAGAATAGGGTTCATGTAAGGTGTGCTTTAGCGTGCTATCATGATGAGCCGATGAAGAATTACCAAAAGCCCTTTAATGTAAGCACCTTAAAGAATAAGTAAATCAGGGTTTGGGGCTATGTTGCAATGTCAATGCACAGGGACAGCAAACAGACACTGTATGTGACCAACCCCCAAATCCCCCGAAACCCCAAACCCTATAGTAGAAGCCAGAAAGTTGCAACATGATAACCCTCATGCCCTTAAGGTGAAGTATAAGGGATCCTGAACCCATGTTCCAACTTTTCTATAGCTAAATGATCAAAAGCTCTACGGAAGCCTGAAACCTGCAGCGAAATAATCAGAACTCAACTAAGCCCCCCTGAACCTTGAAGTGAATAAATCAAAACACGATGAAACCCTGAACCCTGCAGTGAATCAGTCAAAGCACGATTTAGCCCTGAAGCCCTAAAGCTCTAGAAGCCTGAACCCCAAAGCCTAAACCCTAAAACCCTAAACCCGAGTGACGGCTTCTTCCCTCGAGCTGCAGCTTGCCTGAGATCCGGTGAAAAGAACGTCGCCGACTGTACCTGAGTTCTGCGACGACTTAGAGGATCATGGGACATAGTAGCTAGGGTTGAATATGAGGTAACGATAGCCATGCTCACGTATATCTCCAACTAATTAAAGCATGACATCATTATGATTGGCTTCAGGATATCCCCAAACCCTAAAACCTCAAACCCTAAACTCCTAAACCTTTAGGGTTTAGGGTTCCGGCTGCGGGTTCCGGGTTTACGTTTTCGGGTTCCGGATTTCTGGTTTTGTTACGGAAGGGTTTAGGGTTTAGCGTTTCGGGTTTAGGGTTTAGGGTTTAGAGCTTCGGGTTTAGGGTTTCGGGTTCAGGATTTAGGTTTACTGGGTGTCGATTTTCTAACAGCCCCCAACATAATCTACAACTTTGGGCTCTAGATGAAACGAACAATAAGGTAAGAATAAAGGTTTAGGGTTTAGGGTTTAGGGTAAAACCTATCCCAAATCGATAGCTAGTTTAGGGTGTAGGGTTCGGGCTTCGGGGTGTAGAGTCGGATCAGGGTCTCCGTGTATGAGAGAGGGACTACTTTAAGGCCCAATGTCTACACCTAGGTCCTTTAAAGCTACCTATTCTAGGGTTTAGGGTTTCGGGGTTTGGGGTTTAGGGTTTGGGGGTTTAGGGTTTAGGGGTTTAGG